ATAGTGGCCAGCTGTCCGCAGCCTGATTTTCCATCCTCTTGGATTTTTCTTTTTTAGTATTGTTCTAATTTTGGATGTACTATGTATTTTATATATATTTATAGTTTTAATGTTTTTTTAAGTCGCCCAGAGTCCCCTATTGTGGGGGAGATGGGCAGGGGAGAAATCCAACAAATAAAACAGGCTCTCTTAATAATTGATTAATTAACAATGTAATTATTAATTGAGAAATGATAAAAATATTTATGCTGATTTCAAGAAATAACTTGGCTATTGTGGAAAGGAACCTCAAATTCTGCCCTAATAAGTCAAAAGAGGCGCAAGCCATCTTTAGTTGGGACTCCTCTTTATTAGCCAGACAAGACGATTAGGAGGATTTGGTACTCTAATGGTCACTTTCCATTTTTCATGTACTTGGTAGACAAAATTAAAGTGTTGGTTATGAATCCTGTTTTGTTTGTAAACATTTGATTGTAGTTTAGATGTCATGAAGCAAAAAGTAAGCCCAGATTCATAGAATTTTGGCTTAGAGTTATATGGGAACTATATCAATTATACTAATTAGCGGGTAACATTTTTAATTCCATTCTTTCCCCCTGAAGTTGGGCACGTGGTTCCTCTTCTGCCTTTTGCTCTCTTGCTGCAGAAGGAGGTGGAATATCTGAGTCTAGAAATAGAGATACCCCTATCCTGTGACTTCCTTTTTAAATCTTTAGGGTATTATTCATACTGTTCGGCTTCTATGTGTATACAAGTAATATTTATTTATTTATTTTTATACCACCATATTCCTGAAGGACTCCAGATAGTTTACAGTGTAAAACAGTGAAATATAACCCCATGATAAATTGAAACCCATACACCATTAAATGTACTATTATAACTCTTTAATATGTGTCACCATTCAACTATGATCTGAAACATTCTCTCCTGAAGAATCCCATGTTTAACATTTTCTTTAATACCAGGAGAGATGGTGCTATATGGATTTCCCAAAGAGGCTGTTCCAGAGGATAGGGCCATAACTGAAAAACTGTAATTTCTGATCTCTGAATCTCTGATGGGGGGGGGGGAGGAGGACTTTCAGCATCCCCACACAGGATATACAGATCAGACAGGTAGGTTCTATTTACTTGGTAGCTGGTTAATAAGATCTAGGAGGGGTAGAACTCTCATATTTTGCTTCCGTGTTTCTTTCTGTAGATGTCTCATTTTTCTTGTGAAGATGAAGCTCTCTTGCAGCCTATGCTCAGACAGTTATTGCAAAGTGTCAAAGAGAAAATCACAGGAGCACCATCGGTAGAGTGTGCAGAAGAGATTCTACTCCATTTGGAAGAAACAGATGAAAACTTTCATAAGTATATATTTTTTTACATGATTTAAGTGATATTGTGATAACTTTAAAAGAGAAACTCTTCCTGAAGATAATGTCTGGTACTCCTGAATGTTATTTATATATGAGGCAGTTGATTTAACAATTAATATATTACAATCATGCAGATAATATTTATTTATTATCCATTTTTCTTGACTGACCCAATCTTGAAAGCCTCTGGATGGCAAACAACAAAATTTAAAATTAATACAGTAGTTATCAGAAAACATAAACCTATCTTTTAAAAATCCAAGCCATAACACGATTTGTCTGCCCACCTATGTGTAGTTGCCTGTATTTCCTTAAGAAAAATAAAGACCATCTCTGGTATCTATTAAATCTATTAAAATGGCAGTACAGGTAGTCCTCAGGTTATGATGGCAAAGTGGTTGTAAAGCATGACCTCGCATGACTACATCATTTAGTGATGGCAATCCCAACATTCCCCATTGTCAGTGTAACCCCAAGATGCATGGGTTGTTAAGCAGGAAGCAGCGGGAGTCCCAGGTAAGGAGCAGGAGGTGCTGCCAGGGAGTGGGGGAGGGTGGGGGAGGCCCAGCACAGGCCATGCACAAGTGCAGGGAGGCTGGGGGGAGCGGGGTGCTATGCTGTGCAACCGCAGGGAGGCCAGGGGAAGCAGGGTGCTGTGTGAGTGCAGGGAGGCCAGGGGAAGTAGGGCACTGTGCAAGCACAGAGAGGTTGAGGGGACTTAAAGGAGTGACTTGCAACCTTCCCTGCTGACTTCCGCATTGATTTTCTTGTGGGAAGCCGGTAGGGAAGGTCACAAATGGCAGTTGTGACCGTGGGGCACTGCAACTGTCATGTGAGCTGGTTACCAAGTCTCTGAATTGCAATCATGTGACCACGGGGTGGTGTGAAGGCTGGAATTTTGAGAACAACTTTGTTGCAACTTCAAATGGTCACTGAACGAGTGGTCAGTAAGTGAGGACTACCTGTAGTTTCATTATTTTTTCTTTTTCAAGTGACTAATGGTGAGCAAGAGAGCCAGTTTGGTGTAGTGGTTAAGGCACCAAGCTAGAAACCAGGAAACTGTGAGTGGTAATTCCTGCCTTAGGCACAAAGCCTGCTGTGTGATCTTTGGCCAGTCACTCTCAGCTGTAGGAAGAAGGCAATGCAAACCACTTCTGAAATCTTGCCAAGAAAACTGCAGGGACTTGTCCAGGCAGTCACCAGGTGTCATGTGATTTGAAGGTGTGTGTGCGTGCACACACACACACACACAAAATATGACAAGCTACTTTGGAAAGCCCTGATTTTTATGTATAAATCTTGTAAATTTTGTTCCTAATAGATATGAATTGCAGCATCTCAAGTTTTGGAATATGGCATCCAATGGGTCCTTGGATTTATTTCCTGTATTATTCCAACCATCAGATTCTCTAGCTAATCATGTTGTTTAATTAATGAAAAAGACATTCAGCATTTTCAGTTGACGTACAGGTCTTAAATGCTATTAAATTTCTGTGAATTTAATATCCAGTTTCACTTCACCTCTGAAATTCTTCCAAAATTTTCTTAACTAATGTTTCATGTACTCCTTACCATAGTTGTGGAATATTCTTACAGTAACTTGAAATAAGTTTATTGTTAAAAAGACAAATTGAAATGTAGCATAATGTTTGATACATTTTAATTGTTTTTACAGCTATGAATTTGTAAAATATCTTAGAGAATATATCAGTAACATCTTGGGGTCCGTAATAGAAGAAGAAACTGAAAAATGTACCTCAGCCCAAAATCAGGGAGAAGGTTCAAATTATGACACTCTTGTACAGCATGTTACTAAAAAGACTCGGGAATCAAAGGAGTGAGTATATGTAGAAATGCATCTGAAACTCAATTTCCAAAAGAGAATGACTAATTAAATTGTTCAATTCTCCTTATTTTGAGTTCAAGTGCCTGATAACACTCCTTATTTTTTTTTCTGAATATCATAATTACTTTGAAAATTGTATTTCTGCCTTCTTGTTTACCTTGTTCCTTGTTTATCAGTTTACTGTTGGCTTTACATATTTGAAGAAAGCTGCCTGTTTTCAAATAAGTATGTAGCTCCTATTTCATATACATACACTGGCTTAACACTTCTGTGCTTTCAAAATAACATTCTTTGGTTATGAAGTTCAGGCAGATAGGAACTACTGAAAAGTGACAGGGTCCCTGGCCATTAAACTTGTCATTATGCAACGTATGCTTTTCTGCACTGAACAAAGGTTTAGTATTGATTGCTAAAATGGCCCCATGCAGGTTTATGATTCTATCCCTGTTTTCCTCTAAAGCAAATCACAATATTCAACTTCACTGTTCTTTATTACATCAAATACCTCTAGGAAAAGCAGTGTGAGAAATATAGTCAAGCTATGCTACGCAAGATTTCCCCAAAATAACAGAACAAAGGAAGGATGTATTCTGAATATAATCTTCTCCAGGTTGTGAAGCAAACATTAAAAAATGTCTCTGAAAAATAACTGAGAAGGAAAAAAGTACAGCTAATTTTTCAGTATGAAAGTTTTGCCTGTCTTAACAATTATATAATGCAGAATACCTTACTGTAAAGAAGTAGGCATATAAAACTAGATCTCTTCAGTTTTTTACTAGTCAAACATAGGCATCTTTTCTTACTCCAAGGCGGACTTAAGAAGAGAGGACTCCTGATCTAGAGTACTCTTAAGTGTTAAGTGTTAAGATTACTAAATGAGATTTTCACTACTGAGGATAACGTTAATAGATGTGCCACTGCCTTTGTGAGCATAGCAGTGCCATATACACATTAGTATTCTTGCGCACATGGGTAGTCTTTCAATTAGAATTTAGATTTTATGGTTTTAGCAATCTATAGCAACCATTTAAAAATTGGAACTATATTATAAACTGCAATATCTATTAACAGAAAAAACTAATATGCTTACTGAAATGTTTCTTTCTCAACATAAGAGAAAACATTTGTGTCAAAAAAAAAATACTATTGGAAAGGTGAATTGCTTTTAGTAAAATCAGATATACAGCTGGCAGGCAATAGTATGTATGATAGAAAGGCAGAAATACCAAGAGCAAAAAGAACCTTTGCAGGAATGTTCAATGAAACTCTAATGATGAGATCAATCTTACAAACATTTTAATAGTAATTTCAGTGATATGTGGATGGCCATGTTCTGTAAAAGGAAATTAGAAATGTCATTGTGAAAAACTCTGTTACTTAATCAGTACTTAATTGCTTTTATAAATTAGCATGTGGCCTGCTGTATTTTTAATAAGCCATTTATTTACATTCAGGAATTGCATGTCAATTTTGAGCCAGCTAGGCAAGGTTCTTTTTCTTTTTTTCTTTTTTAATGGAAGAAGTAAGTCATTAAAAACCACAGATATTGTTTATCTTCTAGTCATGCACCATTCGTGCCTGTATGAGGGCCTGTAATTAAACAATATCCAAAGCAAATTCTAAAGCCTCTATAAAGATATTTTTGCAGTTTTAAAAATCCTTCCTTCCTTCCTTCCTTCCTTCCTTCCTTCCTTCCTTCCTTTTCTCATATTCTGTGCTGGAAAATGGTATAAAATATCTCAAGCCTTCTGTTTAACTCATCTTATTTAGTATGTCACAAGCTTCTGTGACAATTTCTTATGTTTACATAATCCCAGCAGAATTATGCATGTAATTATGCATTCATATATTTCTCTTTGGTTTATTAATACAGCATACAATTCCAAGAGGTGGAAATCTTGTTTGGGGAAATACATAAATAGCAGCATTAAAATCTGCTAGAGCATAATACAGTTGTAATCACAAGCTGATATAAACAGTAACCCCAACCAAAATGCACAGATGGTTACAATGTGCTGAATACATTCTTCTAAGAATTGCAAGACCTAAAAATAATCGTAATGTTTTTGTAATGTTTAGCTATCATGCCTATATTCTGCTAAATATTTTAGAATCCAAAATATTGGATGGTATGTTCTTCTCATACCAATTTGGGTTTTCGAATACAGCAGGGTGTTCTTGTTTAGGAAATGTTGTATAATGTCCACCTTTATATTATCCAGAACTGGTTTAGTGGAAAGTAATATTTTGAACTCAGGATATACAATTCTGAACCCCTATACAGTATATGAAAATTAATCTTGCTGGACTCAGTTGGACTTGGTTCTGAATAGATATATGTGAGATTGCATTTTTACTTCTTGGTGTATATTTTTCTTTAGGCAGGACTAAACCTCATTAGTTTCAGTGAGATTTGCTGGCTGGTTTGTATGTGATACAACTCATGAATTTTAATTGGCTTAATTTTTAATAATTTCTTGATTGAAGGTATAGAGAAATGATGCATTCTCTGAAGAATGTCATGATGGTTGTGGTTGAATCTCTGATTAACAAATTTGAAGAAGATCAGATGCGCTACAAAGAGATGCAAAGAAAAGTAAAAACAGAACCACCCAACAGTTATTATGCAGATAACTGTTCTGATAGTGATTCTTCCTTTAATCAGGTATGAAATTGTACAAAGGGATGGATGGAGAGAAAAAGAGAGAGAGAGAGAGGGGGACTGACTGACTGACTGACTGACTGACTGACTGACTGACTGTTTGGAGCTATGCAGCAGTGTTGAAGATAACAGACTCAGAGTTAATGTTCTAAGACTGTAAGGGAGAAAAAGGAAATTCACTATTCAGCCTCCAAAATGTATTCCTTTTGAATATGGACAAGGTAGTTGATTGAGTCTTTTTTAGATCATGGTTGTTTAAAGGTGGAAAACCATTATCCTGAAATATTTGCCCAAAACTTGCTTTGGATTGCAATTATATCCTTAGCAGAAAAGGATTGGCAAAATGATGTAGTCCCACACTGAACATCAATGTGCCAACGGGAATTTTAACTCTCATCCTTTGCTCACTTGTATACACAAATTCATATACTGTATATGTTTCAGACAGATAGAGAAATGACTGGATGTTTGCCAAAGGCCTACACACTGCAGATCCATGCTCTACATCTCAGTAGATACCTTAAGTTATTCATATCCAAATTTACAGACTTTATTTCTAACACCCAGAAGCATGTGTATTACAAAAGAGAAAAACAGTGTAATTAATATATATATATTTATCACCTCACAGTGAGATAGGCAGTGACAAATTTGAACTATAAATAAAAATAAATATATTTAGTTCCTAGCCCTTGGACTGGTATGCTGGTTTTCATTGCCATACCAGATCAAAAAAGATGGGAATTAGAGAAGTAAGCATATGCCGAGGAATGAGGCAGGGTGGAAATGGCAGGGCTCTCCACCGGGAAAGCTAAAAATACATGCACACACAATAAGTTTGAAAAAAAAAATTTTTTGAGAGGAAAAAGAAGAAAAATAGAGCATAATTGTTGGAATTATTCTGATTTATAGCGAGTTGAACAGAAAACAGGTTTCAGATAGTTAAAAAAAATGTCTTGAGCATAGGTTGTTCATTAGATTCCAGCTGTTTATCATTTCAAAAATTGGTAAAAGCTTCATGCTGTTAGTCAAATTAGAGTACTGTGTACTCCTGTTAGATCAACAGATGATGTATCCAAATACATTCTGAAGCAACAGGTGCTTGCAAAGACAGGAAAGCAAACCAAAGCATACCCTTTGGAAAGAGGAGTTGGGGACTAGAAAAGAAAGGACACAGTGCTAGGAAGAACAGCAGAGAACTTAATTACTTTGCCCAACCACATTGACAAGTGCCTCTGGAGAAAAGAAGGTTATACCAGCATCAAGGTGGTATGCGGGTTACCAAGGGGGATACAGCTGATCTATCTTGGAGATGAGAACAGGCTAGTTCTGAAACAATGTTTTGGGCCAATGTTTTGAACTGGCCAATTTACAGATATGCTTCAGGGTTAGCAAGCTCAGTGATTAGTGATCAGGTAGGTGTTTGCAATTCCCTGGGTGCAGTTTCTTTTAACCATATGAATGGTGAAGGCATACAGCTTTTCTTTATTAGTAAACAGATCTGTACTTCTATATGCATTTATTTGTATTAGTTGAAGGTTGTGCATATGCAGGCTATGTCTTGTTCTTCTTCCTACCAGTGTCCTCAATCTCTCCCTGTGCCACTTTCAGAAATAAACTGGTATCCTGAGGCAGTGAATCAGGATAGTGTCAGTGGAGAATATGTGAAGTTAAGAATGGATATCCTTCTCCTGATTACAGTATAGATAATTTTGTGTGTATTTCTGACACTATACAGTCAAAATGAGCAGAAATTGGGATGTGATATGGAAGCCAAGAGTGGTCTATATATTTGGTACCATATTATATTAGGTCTGTTGCCCATATACCTTGATGTCAGCATGATCGTATAGGTTCTGCACTGAAGTTAGTGGAGAGTGGGCATTTCTTTCTTTGTGTTCTTACTGTTTACTGCTGACAAAAGCAATGAGAGATTGTTTTCTCTAATTTATGCTGTTAGACTTAAAGTTGTATTTTCTTGAAACTGTTATGATAAAATCAATAAATAAAATCTATTCCATTTAAAGCGAAGTCTAGAGGCCTATTGATTTTTAGAGACGTGCGCTTTCTTCGGCGGAAGACACAATACATGAGAGTGCCTTACAGAAACTCTGGGGCACACACAATATTCTCCCATTTAAAGATTTCTCACTAACTGCAGTGCTGAATGGAATGAAATTGCATATCTTCACAGTTATGTAACGTGGGAGAGGGCACCTGGAATATCCATAGCTCTCTCTGTCATCCACTGCAGTGGCATAACAGTTCACAAAATAGGAAGGGAAAATTGACAACGAGGAGAGAGAATGGAATGGAGTGAATAAAGAAAGTATACAGAGAGATAAAAGGTGTAATCCAAAAAACTGTGCAGAACAGAAGAGAAAGAGGTCTGTAAACAAATAGAAATGTCAAATCTTTAAAATATGGCTGCAGCTAGCTCATCACCTCTCTAAATAATATGTAGGGTGGCGGATTTACATTATATTTGCAGGAATGTGCATAAACTGTATTCGTCCTGAAGAAAATGTAGCAGTTTAGGTATTAGACTAAGAGTAGAATGACCAAGGTCCATTCATAGCTGTGAAGCTCAGTGAATGATTGGGCCAATCACTCATCCAACCTACTTCATGGGGTTGTTATGGAGGAAGAGACTGGTTTAAAATATTTTTTTTCCCTACCAAATACTCTGTTAGATCACTTCATTGAATGTTTTATCATAAAAGTTAGGTTTTTTTTTTTTAAGATTTAACAATTAAAATATGTTCTTCCATTTTTTAAAATAGTGATCTAAATCCTGTAAAGTCTGTTTCAGTCGGTTGGCTTTGACTGTTTTTTACAATATATTGCAGAGTTACACTTTTATGAATCAAGAACAATTACAGCTGCTTGTAGAAAGACTTGATCCCATGCAACCTAAGGAGGTAAGTTTAAAAAGAATTGTTTTCTTATTCTCTTTTGCACATGCATAGGCAAATGCAGCTTGGTTTTGTCATGTGTTAAGCTCATATTTGGTGAACTGCTTCTCAATTCAGTAAAGCTCTTTCATGTTCTTAATCTAAAAAACATAAAACTCAAGGAAAACCATAGGGTAGGGTGAAGGGGGTGAGGATGTGATAATGGTATGAAGATAGCAGTTGGCAGATGGATGGAAATATATGTCTTCTGGACAGAATCTGCTCCCCACTGGATTAGCCTGTTCCTCTTCCCAATCTTCTACTTTAAGCATAGTCTGCTTCTACACCTTTCCCTGCGATAGTTTTCATAAGCCTCTTTGGTGTCAATTGTTTGCTAAAAATTACTCAGTAGAAGTGGGAATGTAGTGTAGCAAAACTATGTGCATAAATTTGAGACTAAAAATGGATAAAATCTGCAATGATCAATATTTTGTCAGGGAACCAAAAACAAAAAACAAAAAAACCCCACCTCTCTTTAAGCAGATAGCATTGGTTTTAGTTAGCCAAGATCAACTGTTTCCCCAATTCCATTTAATGAAAGAAGCATTGTAATTGCCCAGTTTGGAAACAGGACTACAGGTGTTGAAAACAGGCATGGAAGGGGAAGAGTGAGTATATAAGTACATGATCTGATCTCCAGTTGAGAAAATACACTTTTTTAGTTTGAAATATTTGTATCAGGACCTTTCTTACAGTCCGAATCTCATTTGTTGAACATTTATGTACTAATATATGGGAAGCTGTAAAATTCACCTTTTCTGTTTTCAGTAGGTAGTGCATAATTTATTTCATTGACTCTACTGAACTCTACAAAATCTTTATTAGAGTCTGAGTGTATTATCCTGCTTAATTTCATTTTCCATAAAAGAGCAGAACAATGGCTGGCATTGCATTCTTAGGTTGAATTGAAATTGCAATATTGAATCTTCCCAATAGTGGGAAAGGATGGTCCAGGTAGTTTTCTTGCCAACAACATGGCTAAGGAAATGGTCTGCCATTGTCTTCTTCGAGGATGCTCTTTGACTTCCCATTCTAGCCTACAGCCTTGGGATTTCACAGTGTCTGAGCTTGATTAGCTTTATGAGATCAGACTAAGGCCTGGTAGGTAGCTGCTATCTGGTAGGAGAAAGAGAAAAACTGTCAAGACAATATGTGTGTGTGAAGGGAAGGGAAGGGAAGGGAAGGGAAGGGAAGGGAAGGGAAGGGAAGGGAAGGGAA